TATTCAATTTAAGTGAATTCAAAGCTTATTTACACTTAAACAGTTACACATAGAATAAAACAAACAGATATGTATATACATGTAGAGCAGTATTTCAAGCAGAATAGATAGATACGCTCTTTTTATCATGAGTATTGTTATTCCCACTTGGGATAATTTCCAATATTTATAGATAAATATTATGATTGATTACATTTCAGACATAGACCTCGTGTACGGAAAAGTATGGAATGTCTGACATGTAGTGACTGATACACTTACAAATACATTCTTTAACTCTAATATAAAACAGAGTTGAAAGTTAGTGCTAATGAAAGAAAACATTAACATTACTCTCACAAACTAACCACTCAACCAAATCTCATGATTATAATTTTGTCTCGACATATTGAGCGAGCATGGTGAGGAAATCCGTTGAAATTTTCTGAGATAATACTTGAGACATTGCGGAGATTTGACTTTTCCTATTTAAAATGCTGTATTCTAATGAAGGGTTATGCGACCTCGACGTTAGTACTCAATACTCTATAAGTGGTCCATAGATAAATAAACATTTAGAAAGCTTATTCCTTAAGGGCATGGGTTTATGTTTCCCGTTTGACGTCATCAGAAATCTCCACCGGTTTTACGGGGTCTGTTTTTGTTTATGAAATGGGTTTTTTCATATTTTTTTCTCTCAAGAAAGTAGGTTGCGGTTATACAAATTTAGATGTAATAAAAAGAAAATGACGGGCTCTTTTTAGGGAAGAAGATAAAGAAAAAGAGAAAAAGGAAAAAAGAGGAAAAAGAAGAAGATACTAAAGAAAAAGGCAGTCAGGTAGACCTATAGCGACATGATACGCGCAATCGAAACAATACGGTGCTGCAGAATATAGTAGAATGCTTTTGTTCCTTTTATCTTTAGAGGGAGACGATATCCACTTTTTATTTATTCGCTTTCTGTCTTATAATTCCATTCAAACACCCTAAGATCCTGTGTTTTTTTTTGCAAAATACCTCACAAAAGTAAGAGTGGCACCACTTACAAAAAAGGTCGACATTTCGAGACTTTTCACAGATTTTAGTTATTCAAAATTGAAAAGTTGATTTGCGCTTGAGTACATTATCCCGGGATATGTAGTCCAGTATAATCTTTAGACTTTCATTATCTGTAGCGCTACTTACTTCCAGTTAGTCACTGCATAGTACGGTACATATTCTCGATGATATCCCACTTCTTGGGGGCTGTAGTCGATTCCGGAGGATGTACTAAAGTTACTTGACTCATCATCTTTCGTATTCATAACAAATTATATTGATGGAAAAAAATATTTATGCTAATCAAAAGTACAGTACTTTTAATAAATACCCTGTTATAATATGAAGATAAGTGCGAAACAATAGTCGATGGTGACATTTTCCCTTTCCATCATAATGTATTGGATAAACAATGTGGTTGAAAAAAAACACTGTATTGACAACAATACTTATTATAAATAACAATAACAGGAACATATATTATGCCTCAACTGAGCGCCAAATTGCAATTTATACTTGTAAATAAATCATCCGACTCCTGCCTATACAGTCACTTCACGTGTGGAATAAATATATGTGCAGGTACATGAATGATGTATAGTGTCAATTGTGCTTTATTGAATTACTCGATATTGAGTCTAACATTGATGAAATACTGCGCTTCGATACCAGTGAAGTATAGGGGCCTAGTGTTTATAGTTATTTAGAGGGGGTGCTTGTCTTATGCATATTGCCATTGATGCGTCGTTGGTAAAATGTAGGACTGCGTCAAACACTGGCGCGATCTTTGACGCATGACGTAAGCAGTGCAAACTTTGCGTTGAATTACTGGTGCATTACAAATTTCGTCCCTATGCTTCGCTAGCACAGGTATTAACGCAATTAAAAATGTAGATAGATAGATAGTTTATTGGTTACCACAATATCTCATTTTACAAAGAGTGTAACAACATATTGACAATGATTATAATATACATGTACATACAATACCGGTACACACTATTCAGAATATTGTCCATTAAGTTGAACTTAAGAGATATAGTGGCGGAGCCTATGGAAAAGCAGAGCTTGTTGTGGATAGGCTCCTTAAACTACAAATGACATAAGTAACTGCAGTAAAGTTTGTAAAATACAAATACACGCTAAAACAGGGAAAGGGAGATTATAGGGATACATGAACCGATACTCACAATTAACTTCAAATTAAGACAAGGAAAAGGGAAGGGAATATATTTGCAGCTTATTGAAACAATATTACAATATTGTTTGTTCTCGATATGAGTATATTATAATCATAGTTGGCATGGTTATACCGTTATTTACTCATTGTAATGAACAAAAGTATACAGCTAGGAGACAAGAATAATCAGGAATCAGGAATGACAATATGTATTCAAATAATAACAGTTTAAATGACGCCCATTTTTTTGCGAAGAGAAGGGCATGGTTTATTATCTAAAAGCTAACTCTACAGCCTGTTCTGTATATAATCGTGATTCTCATTTAATGCAATTGTTATATACTGCTATTTTTATATTTTTCTCGTGCATTGATTATCATCATGTTCTCATCACCGAAATTAAAGTTAGAATGACAAAACAAGACAAATCAAATAAATGTGTGCTTTATTTGGTTTGGAAGTAAAGTGTGTGAACTCAGGTGTGACTGGGACTAGCCGGGCGGCGAATTTTTTATTCCCAAACAGGTTTGCAATTTCTTATATTTCCGTTCTTCTCAATGGCTGATATGTTCTACGTCATTATCAGCTTGGAAAGAGGTCACAAACAATTAGACTTTGATTTTTTATTGCTTTGCCTCACTATTTATAAAGGAAAAAATACGGAATAGACTTGAACCCACTACTCTATGATTGTATTACGCTGACCTTACCGATTGAGCCAACGATGGGTTGATGAAAAGTAATTCTGCATGATTTTTATACCCCTATCACTCACCCTTAACGGTTACGTCATTGCTAATGACGTAACATATCAGCCAATCAGATGACCGGAAATATTAGCATTGGCAAACATGTTTGGGGAAAAAAAATTAGCAGCCGGGCGCCATGAAACATCCGTTAAAATACAGGACAAAATATTTAAGTTTAAATATATTTAAGAGAAGGTTAAAATGGTAACGGTGAGTAATTACGTAAAGGTTTTTTTCTTCATTTTCTATAATCCCATGTGGACGAATATCCCAATCATATCAATTATACAAAAGGATTTGCTCGTGAAATACCCTCTTTTTCCGAATACAGCTATGTATTTTGAAACTTGGAACAAATTTCGATGTTATAATTTAATGTCTGTGGGCATAGTACATTTGCGTGCATTTTTTTTTCTATGCGCTTCCGCAAGATTTATTGCATTTGTTACGATTTTGACTATTTGAAAACCACCTGTTAAACAATCATTCGTATGTTTTAAGTCATTAGCAACCTTTCTAAATCTCTTCTAGACGTTTTTTTTCTTCTTCAAGATGACCAGTAGTCCCTACCCATGTAACCTTCTATTTATTACTTTGGTTGCTTTCTTCGCACATGCACTCGTTTGCTACACATGCAATTTTACACAAAAACAACAGGCGCGAATTGACAGGAGGACAACTTTGTGCACCACAAAAGAAAAACCATTTGTGATCTTGATTAGCCTCATGACAACCCTTTTAAAACCAGATAAATTAATCTTTTACTTGAAACAGTTGAATGGTCGATCTGCAATGCGTTTACATATATCCAGATTATTATTATTATAGTCTCGAAGCCTTTTATATATAACCCATGATAAATACAGTGTGGCACAGGGAGATCGCTTGTGTGGCATTTAAAGGGTTAAGTAGCACCACCAAGGCATGACTTTGCATACATCCATGCCATCTGTTTACCACGGTTAGGAATAAAGCATACGAGAGGGTATAGGGTGGAACCACGCACGCATCGGTAGAGAATTGTGGCGCTCATTCTAAATTCAGGAGGGACATGGATTGACCTTTGAGAGCGATGAGTAACTGGCAATAGTCACCTGGTGAGATACCTAATATGATTGGTTGTGCCTTGAGAAAACACGGATGATTATATTATTTAATGAAGGGGAAGATGTTTTTACAAACTGGCTGTATGAAAGCTTTTTTAAGTTGAATTTATCATTGAAAAAAGTAATGAATATTGAAATAAAGAAATAAAAGATGAATAAATAAACAAATAAAAAGGCTCTCTGTTTGCCCTAGGATCCTTGGTCTGCAAATGAAATTCCGTGTGCAACCACCATGAGAGGTAATAGGGACTTTTAGATTTGCACGACGAGAACGAGGACTGCTACATGTGACATCCTTTTAAGGCAATGTGACGTCCTTTTAAGGCACTGCCTGAAAAGCATGTCACATGTAGCAGTCCACGTTCTCGTCGTGCAAATCTAAAAAGTCCCTAATGGCGTAGCTCTTAGTGGTACTTGTTGGTTGTTATGCCTGTTTCCCAAGAGGATCATTTCGATTGCTTTATTACCTGCACTAATCAAAACTGTCACTCTGGTCGCCGTGCATTTACTTTATATGTAAAATATACAATCAAACCTGCTTTGGTGACCACCTGTCTAAAAAATACAATTTTGTTTTGTTTCCCTTGAAAATGGCTTCTCATTGAAACATGTATTAAATGAACCCGTCTACAAAGACAACCTGTCTATAAAGACCCCTTTTTGTGTTTCCCTTGGGCGGTCGCTATAGACAGGTTTGGCTGTTTATATATATGATGTCACTCGCTCACGGCGCATTCAATTAAAGTCGCAGTCCCAGAGAGATTTGACGTGTTGACGAAGTCCTGGGACCCGTTTCACAAAGCCTTTCTTCAATGACAAATGACAAAAATCAGTGACAAATCTGCTGATGACCAATCAGAAGCAAGGATTTCACTAGCTTATAACACAACCTGTCATTTGTCACTGATGACAATTTTTGTGAAACATCCCCCTGGGGAGTTTCCTTACCTGACAGAATTGACGCAAGAGCGGCTATGGTAAAGGAGAGTATGACACCGGGACCAGCCATCGCCCTGGCAACCAGACCAGACACCACGTACATCCCTGTACCCATGCAGCTACCTACACCGAGTGAGACCAGGTCTAACGTGGTGAGGCACTTTGGTAGACGGCCTGGAACGTTCCCATCCTCTTCATCGGTGGACTTGGCACTGTACAAATCCAGGGACTTGGTCCGGACTAGACGACGCAAGATGGCCGTCACTTTGTCCTTGAAGCCCATGGTGTGAGCTGCTTCTGGTCCTAGTCGGATATGGGATTAAAGCAAAATAGGAAAGTGAACTGCAAGAAACTATGATGCATCTACTCAACACAATCAGCATAAATGAAAAATAAAAAAATAAAAAATCTCTGTAATTCTTTCAAAAGGGGAGTTTATCATTCTAGGTACCGATGTACTAGAATTAAAATTAAGCTCACAAATTTTGCTCGCTCAATTGAGGAAGCAAGGCCCCTCAGGAAAAGCCCTATGTTTCAGTATTTTCATGAGATTTGCGTTTAAATCTATGGAATTAAATTAATTGTGTTCATCACGGAAATATATGCAGTATATCAAGTGCAATATGAACAGTGTGTATTTTTAGACACTAAAGCATTTTCATAATTTTAGAATGTAAGTGAGAGTATAGGAAGTTCGTGTGTGAAGAGGCTTTCAATCAAATAAACGGATATATTGGAGCCGACAATATTCAGCGCTAGCTAGCTGACACTTAATTTCATTATTTGCTGTGCAATTTAGCAACCGCCAGTCGCCGATTCTTCCGCTTCGCTTTCTGCCTTAGAAAATGCTCACGTCGTGTTGTCTTCCACGCACGTTTCCCATTAATTCAACTAGCAAACGAAACAAAAAATCGCAATGTTGACTCTCGCGTGTGGCTTTGTAGATTTACGCGGGAAAAAATACTTTCATTCCGATTAATCTTGCAAGAGCAGACAGACGATCTAATGTAAATTTTCCTGGCAACAATTCTGAAATGAAGTAGGGTTTCTCTCTCTGATTCAGCTTTGTTTGTTAAAAAGCTATGAGTGACAGAAAAGGAGTAAAGGTTATAAAGATAATTCTCATGAGTGCGGTCGTCTGATTTCATGAGTATTTGGATTGTCGCCAAAAAGTTCACAATGCAGTAGTATTTAAGCTAAGATTTATTCATCAAATTGAAAAGAGACGAAATAGAAATGCATTGTAGAAGACAGAAACAGGGGTGGGACAGACATACAAAGGCAGACATATGACAGACAGATTGATAGTTCGGTTGCCCGAATATGTTTCGAAACTATCGAGGGCCTGGATACCCTCCGCCCCTCCCCCTATCGCCTGTGAAGGCAAGACTATTATCATGAGAGAAAAGATTATGTGAAAGATAGAGAGAGAGAGGGGGGGGGGAGAGAGAGAGAGGGCAAGATACTGAGGGTGGAGGGGAGAAAAAGAGATAATGCGAGAAGGAAAAGGGAGAGAGAGAGAGAGAGAGAGAGAGAGAGAGAGAGAAAGAGAAAAAGGAGAGAGAGAGAGAGAGAGAGAGAGAGAGAGAGAGAGAAAGAGAAAAAAGGAGAGAGAGAGAGCTTTGTCAGGTAGGTAGATGTCAAATAACGAGATGGAATCTGGAGTCAGATGAAGCTGTGAGTGGGTGAGCAAACCCTGTTCGAAGAGAAAACAAATAATGCACCCATGAGGAGTGAGAGAAGAGAAGAGCAGCAGATGAACTAGGCTGAAACGCGGCATGGAGGAAATAGAAAGTGCCACTATACGAATCCCTCCCAGCTCTCGCCTTCAATAGTGTGTAATGGATGCAGACAGATGGACAACATGGAGCATCTCATTTGCATAGATGAGGCGGTGGGTTGGGATGGAGTTCTCTGGGATGTTGTGCGCGTTGAGAGATGGTGTCCTGGGTCTCGCTGCAGTTGAAATACGAGTCAATCAGAGGATTGCTAGCAAGCCCCGAGGTCAAGAGCATCACCTCTTAGAGGTGGTTCTATAGACCGTTTTCATTGGGAAGTTCTTGGAGGATCACATTTAGTGAAAAATTCTCCAACAGAAAAAGACAAAGGGTCATGAGATAAGTGAGACACATAGAAAGAGAAAGAAATAGAAAGAGAAAGAAAGAGACAGAGAGACAGAGAGATAACAGATTCGGATAAAATAATCTTGTGATAGTATTACATAACGGAAACATTTTACAGGGGTGGGGGGGGGGGGGCTAATAGATTTAGTTTTCCGTGAATGATTTTTAAAAATCAGTTAAGAATGTCATAAACTTGCCGAAAAATATTATTAAACTTGCCCACATCAGTTTAGCAGGGAGGAGACTGTGTTAAGCCACGTCCCTTTCGCTTACATTCTTACCCTTTGTGGTGACCATTCAACAAATACATTAATTTTATTTAAGAGGCGTTGATAGCAAAAACTAAGAGCGGATGATACAATCATCGTTCACAAAAGATAAGGTGAAACAGTCTCATTTACATAGATGCTTGTCTTTACCCAACAGAGCGGATTACTATATTCATCAAAATGAGAGGGGAGACGGTGATAAATATTGATTGGTCATCATGAGTAGCTATGAATAGCATGAAATCGATAGCATCCGATGAGTATCCGATGGCTAATTTGCATAGATGCGTTCAACCATCTGCACCGGAAGTAGATGATTGAATGGGGTTCACATCGAGTTCATTCTTGAATAAATTACTTAATCTAATAATCTAATAAAAACATGAACTTTCAATTCATTATGCAGTTCATATCTAAAGGAGATCAAGTGTATTTGTCGTAGAGTTGTCGTAGATAACTTGGCCCCGTCTTTATACAAAGAGTTGCGATTGATCCAGATAAATCGCAAGTCCTCCAATTTGCAGTCTCCTATCTCTTATGTACACAGTTGCGATTGATATCAACCCTTTCTAAGACGGGGCCCTGGTCTCTACATTATCATATCACACATATTGGCCTGAATTCACAAAGGAGGTTTATGTGCGTCATATGACGCGTTTCAAACCGAGGTTTGTCTGAACCATGGTTTGAAACGCGTCGAAACGCGTTATTATGACGCACATAAACCTAGGTTTATCGACAAACTCCTTTGTGACTTTGGGCCATAATGTCCCTCTGCTACATCGTAATTTCATGATAAATAAATTATGAGAAGGTCATGGCTTTGAAAACGACATGGTTCTTGTGCCTTGAGGAAGGGTGCAAAGATACACCCTTAAAGGGAGCAAATTTGCACCCCTGATGAGAAAACAAACAGTGCATTATTTGATGGAACAAATATTAACGGATTTACGTATCTACCATTCAAAAGCACCACTTATTATTCCATCATTCATGTCAGTAAAAGGAATTTGTTAATGTTCTTATTTTTTCTTCATTTCGACTCATATTTATTTTCGTTCTTTCATGTTGTCTAACTAGTAATCCATCTTATGTACGGTATTCCTTTATTATTACCTGAGTTAGATCCCGTAAATTAATTGGTTATCCGAGTTGATATCTTCACTGTTTGTTGAATCCGATACAATAAGTAATAATAAATGCGCCTCGGAATAGAATTTCTAGATAGACGGTGCTATAGAAATGCCTGATATTATTATTATTATTATTATTTGTATTATTTAAATGATGTCTGCTTCTGACACAACAGTACAAATTGCATGATTTTCATTTTTCATTTTTATTGAGAACGCTTTGTTTTTTCCCGCTACAGGATGTACTGCTGAGCTTTTATGAAATATGTTTTTTTGCCTCCATTATATTTGAAACAAATTGATGAAGTTAGTATAATTAATTTAAAGCTGAATTACTAGGAGGGTGGCGATGCAACATTGAAGCTAATTTGTTCTTATAATGGTTTGTATTAAGCCATCTCAGTCACACGCTCTTTGACAATTTACAAACTGTTATTCGCTGCAACGCGTTTTCTGCAATTGCTTTTAAAATGTCAACTCGTCCTCACCCAATTCTAGTCATTTAAAGCTTATTATCTATCACCCCCATCCATCTAAATATCTCTCCACCATCTAAATTGGGTAAGATCGTTACGACTGTGACGTCATAATAGCAAATGCAGCGTATACCCACGATGCGGAAAATAGCTGGTGACGTCACAAATCGATGTAACACTGCTAGATAGTAGACAGCCGTGTGTGTGGTAGACAGACTTGAAGCGTCTGAAAGCTCGGGGAACCTTGTACATGCATTAACCTTACATCGCGGCCCTATATAATCACTATCTAATTTTGGCTGGCAAGACGAGAGCATTATTTCTACGAAAGATTTATACAGACAAAATTACAATGTGCAGGTAAAATGAATGCTTTATAAAGGCCAGAACACTTATCATGTCCTCTTAATTTTATTTCTTCCATATAGTCATGTTTTGAGGAGACTGTTCCATCATCGAATTATATTCCATTTAAACTTGGCGTATCTATATAGCATAAAACTTAATATGAAGCAACGGTGAATAGAGAAGGACATGTTAATGGAAGAGGAGAAAGAGAAGGGGAGAGAGATGGAGAGACAGAAAGAGGGATGTTTTCTTGAATGCCACCTGAGCATACCAAAAAGGGAAAGAAAACAAGATTTAGAAAACGCATTATGGAGGAGAAGAGCACGCCATTATTGCTATTCGTGCATGGGTTGAAATATGTTCTGCAACCCAATTAAAAGTAAATTCAACATTAATTTGGGGCTTCCTAAACAAAATATTCTCAAATTCAAATAATCATCTTGACTATTACTAGTCGTCAAATTTACCCCGTGTTTCTATTATTATTTGTATTATCGTTATATTTATATTCCGTATACATGTTCACATGAATGGCTAAAAAATTATGAGTAGGATTTTTTAATTCTTCAAATGTACATTAATAACTACGACCCCCCCCCCCCCCTCACACTGCGCACCCAAACTTGTAATGACCCAATTCCGAAATTGAGCTAGTGTTGATCATCCTTTTCATCTGACCGCTTTTACGAGACAGTGGATGAAAAAACGAGTCCGCGAGCCCGAATCCTTTAACATAATTAATTTCTACGGAGATGGGATATGAAGAGATTAACTTGGTTAGGTTAATTTAATTGGATTCGGATAATGAGGAAGAAAAAATGGGACACGACTGAAGCGATGCATACAATACATGCCATTTGTATGTAAACTACCATTAGGCCGAATACAATGTACCCGTAGCAATATGTCAGCCCTGTAAAAAGCAATGTCTTTAATATATACAGTCCTGTTAAA